GATTTGAATCCTGCTCTTCAGTGTCATAGCCCTGCACTCAAGTCACTAAACCACACACTCTTGACCCAATATGGCACAGAGGTTTCAGTGTTGTACTGGGATTTGGAGAAATCCAAATAGGTGCCAATTGGCTTTAAAAATCAATGTAGATGAGGATGCACTGGAAAGGGACGTGTTCAATAAATATGGTTAATAAATAAATCCCGATTTTGAACATGGCACATCAAACTGGAAACAACCATCTCCCAATGCCATCCCAATGCCAATCTGAACAGACGTAAAAAGACAATATAAAGAATTAAATTTGTCATCCCTGGGTGAGAGACTTGTCAACAATTACCAGGTGCAGTAGGCAATATTTCAGGGGAAACCACTTTTGCAGTGGTTCCCAACCTTTTTTTGACCAGGGACCACTTTCCAACATTAGTACCAAAATAGTTACGAATCAGTTTTTGGTCAACATTAGATTTTGTTGCACTGGATAGATCACATCAGCTCTACTTTCTGATACAGAACATAATCCACCCAGTAGTCACCATCTGCTCACCCACAGAAAACCATATTTAATAAGCCTCAGCACTATAACAGGATTTTGCAAGACCAGTTGCTCTCGGTGTAGTAACGGTGAGGCTGCAGGCCATATTTTAGTTCTTGCGGACCACAGGTTGGGAACCACGGCATTCTTTTAGTACCTCTTGCCTCAGAAAACTAGCATTCATGGGGTAACCAGAAGTCAAGCAACAAATTAAAGGGCTGAAGAATAGAAATACTTGGAAAAGCTCATTTTTTGGGATTATGATCCAAAAGGAAAGTGACCTGAAATCGCCTTGCTAGGAGAAAACACAACAGCATGCAAAATGACCCGGTATGAACTCAGTTGTATCTAGACGGGATTGTGGTATGACTCAAGCATGGCTAATTCTGCAGAGAATCCAGTTTTTTTTTTGAGAAATCAAGGACACAGTCACACTTTTCAGTACAAGCATCAGTCATACACAGCAATGTTTGGCCAATACTAAGGAGAAGGAAGTGTCTCTTTATACAACTAAGTACTAACTTAGCCATCTCAGCTCAGCCACTTAAGTGGCTGAGAGGGAAAATGAAAGGTCCTGAGGCTGTTAGGAATGGTGGGAGTTGAAGTCCAAAACACCTGGATGGCCCAGGTTTGCCCATGTCTGTACTAGATGATGTCAGGTGAGTCACACACTCTCAGCCCCAAAAAACACAATGATAGTGTGTACCCAACAACTTTTAGATTTCAGAAAGCTCTTCATATTTGGAGCCCAGAATTCCACAGAATGCAGTAAAAGTACAATAGAGTGGAAAGCTAAACAGGGTCATTCCTGGCTAGTCCTTGGATGGGACGCCACCAACCCAATTCTAGCGACAATATTTCAGAGGAAACTACTTATGAGTATCCCTTGTCTAGGAAAACTCCATGAAACTCATCACAAGCTTGAAGGTACATCTTGTAAAGCAGGCATGGGCAAACTTTGGCCCTCCAGGTGGACTGTTAGGAATTTTGGGAGTTGAAGTCCAAAACACATGGAGGGCTGAAGTTTGCCCATGCCTTGTTCTAGAGGCACTCTCCTGACGTTTCGCCTGCATCTATAGCAAATATCCTCAAGAATCCTTCAACTCCCACAATACCTAACAGTCCAAAATACCTGGAGGGCCGAAGTTTGCCTATACCTGTTGTAAAGGGTCATACTAGAAAAAGATCCCGAAAGCCAGGAAAAGGGGCTGCTAGCCCGAGACCCAATCTATGCAACCATATAATGCAGTTTCAAACTATGACTATGGGACCCAAATTGCCCGTATTAGGCCAAATGCTCTCATTAAGTGTAAAAGCAGCAAGAGCCCAAAACATAGGCAGGAAAAGCAGGAGAAAGAAAGAACAGCAACCACTTTGTTTGATGATAAAAGTCAATACCGGAGAGGGAGTGTCTGGGGTGGAGGCAAACTTCCCCAACCCAGATCATCCAGATGACAAAAGACCCAGGTTGCACAACAGAGAATGTTATGGGTGAGTTTCATCAGCCTTTGGGTTTAGAAGTGTATCAAAACAGAAAGAGGAAACGGCATCAAAACAGAAAGAGGAACTGCCAACCAGTGGAGATAAAAAGAGAGGCAAAGGACAAGAAGGGATGGAGAGGGTGGGTAGAGGAGTAGAGAGAAGCAAAAGGCCTATTCCAACCTAAATAATAACAACAACAATAATAAGGGGGTTGCTGTGAATTTTCCAGGCTGTATGGCCATGTTCCACAAGTATCCTCTCCTGGCGTTTCGAACACATCTAGGGCAGGCATCCTCAGAGGTTGTGAGATCTGTTGGAAACTAGGCAAGTAAGGTTTTTATATTGTGGAATGTCCATGGTGGGAGAAAGAACTCTTGTCTGCTGGACGCCAATGTGGATGCTGCAATTGGCCACCTTAATTAGCATTGAATGGCCTTGCAGCTTCAAAGCCTGACTGGTTGCTGCCTGGGGGGAATCCTTTATTGTTGGGAGGTGTTGGCTGGCCCTGATTGATTCTTTTCGGATCCTACTTCAAATGAGATTTATATATCTGGGGAATTATGAAAATGAACAAAATCTGGCTACGAGTATTACTCTAAAATCAGGACAGTAAATAAATAACATTACTAAAAAACAGGGGAATTCCAGACAAGAAACAATCCAACAAAGGATACCCTCAGGCAGGAAGCAACCTGGCTTTGAAGCTGCAAGGCCATTCAGTGCTTATCAAGGTGGCCAAATACAACATCCACATTGGCGTCCAGCAGACAAAGAGTAATTTGTTGGGAGGTCTGTTGGAAACAGAGGGTGCTTGCCATAGATGTGGGTGAAACGTCAGGAGAGAATGCTTCTGGAATATGGCCATACAGCCCAAAAAACCTACAACAACCCAGTGATTCCGACCATGAAAGCCTTTGACAATACATTATTATTATTATTATTATTATACACACAGATGTGGAACCAGGTGGTTCCATACCTGGGTGTAAATAATAATAATAATAATAATAATAATAATAATAATAATCTCAAAACCCAATGAATGTCACTGATATACAAAACTGCCATCCTGTGCCCTCTTTGCCCAACAGCAAGAAACAATTCACTCAATGGGCCTAATTCCAAGTAGCACAAAAGGCAATCTGGGTTAAGAGTTGCTCATCTGGACTGCAACTCCCAGAATGCCCTTGCCAGCAACTTTGAGATTCAGAGAAATCATGTGATTCAAAGCTGGATTTTGACTTTGAAAGCTTCCAGATCAGGGCAGGGACCTTGAGTATGGGGTTGAGAAGAGGAAAAAGGAAGGAAAAGAACTAGAAGGAAAAGAACTAGAGTTACTTGTGGAAGGAGAGAAAGGACTGAATTGGGGTGCTGTTGAGGGAACACTGAAAAATCTAAAAGGATCAGAGAAGAAAGATCCCAAACCAAAGGAAAGTGAAAGGCAAGAGGGTGCGGGAACCCTTATTATTATTATTATTATTATTATTATTATTATTAGTAGTAGTAGTAGTAGTAGTAGTAGTTGTGTGTTTGTATGCTCTTTTTGTTTTAAGTGATATCATAACTCAAAAACCGCTGGACTAATTGCCCAAATTTGGCCACAAGACACCTACTAACCCAAGGAGTGACCATCACTCAAAAAATTGATTTTGTCATTTGGGAGTTGTAGTTGCTGGGATTTATGGTTAACCTACAATCAAAGAGCATTCTGAACTCCACCAATGATGGAATTGAACCAAATTGGCACACAGGACTCCCATGACCAACAGAAAATACTGGAAGGGGTTATTGGGCATTGACGTTGAATTTGGGAGTTGTAGTACACCTACATCCAGAGAGAACTGTGGACTCAAACAATGATGGATCCGGACCAAACTTGGCACGAATATTCCATATGCCCAAATGCACAGATGGAGTTGGGGGAAAATAGACCTTGACATTTGGGAGTTGTAGTTACTGGGATTTATAGTTCACCTACAATCAAAGAGCATTCTGAACTCCACCAAGGATGAAATTGAACCAAACTTGGCACACAGACTCCCATGACCAACAGAAAAAACTGGAAGGGTTTGGTGGGCATTGACCTTGAGTTTTGGAGTTGTAGTTCACCTACATCCAGAGAGCACTGTGGACTCAAACAATGATGGATCTGGACCAAACTTGGCATAATACTCAATATACCCAAATGGTGGAGTTTGGGGAAAACATACCTTGACATTTGGGAGTTGTAGTTGCTGGGATTTATAGTTCACCTACAATCAAAGAGCATTCTGAACTCCCAACGATAGAATTAAGCCAAATTTCTACACAGAACTCCCATGCCCAGTAGAAAATACTGGAAGGTTTTGGTGGGCATTGACCCTAAGTTTGGGAGTTGTAGTTCACCTACATCCAGAGATTACTGTGGACTCAAACAATGAAGGATCTAGACCAAACTTGGCACAAATACTCAAAATGTGAACACTGGTGGAGTTTGGGGGAAATAGACCTTGACATTTGGGAATTGTAATTACTGGGATTTATAGTTCACCTACAATCAAAGCGCATTCTGAACTCAACCATGGATGGAATTGGGCCACACTTCCCCCATGATCAACAGAAAATACTGTATTTACCCACAAGCATCAAGACATTACATTTATTAGAAACCAACACTTTCCAATTACTTTAGTTTCCAGATCACTAGACTGCCACAGCAATGCATGGCAGGGGATATATAAACTAGCCGTCCCCTGCCACGCGTTGCTGTGGCCCAGTAGTTGAACTAAACTGATCGTGGAAGCCCTGAACTTGCAAGACCTGGGCAGAGGAAGGGAGGCCCACGAGATGACCACATTAAATCATAATCGAGCAAATCAAAACAACATTGCAACATAAACAAAGTAGCAACACAGATCTGGGAAGGGAAAACGTGGCATTTCCCCCCAATTGAAGGGCTCCCTTTCCACTTCCAAGGTTCTGCTTCCCCTTCCAGTCTGCTTACCCAGCCATTGCAACGTGTTGCTCTCTCACTCGCTGCCACGCGGTCCCGACTCCTGAGCAAACTCCCAGCACTCGTGTCCCTCCGTTCAGCCCCTCTGACTCATATGAAGGCGGGCCCGGGGAAAGAGGCGGGGCTTTCTCCGCCCACTGCCGACGTCACTGACCATGAAAGGAGATCCTGGGCGCGTGGGAACTTCCAGGGCAAGTGTTAGCGAGGGAGCTGCAAGGGGCCGGATCAACGCTAGGGGGCGCTGCGGGACTCCTGCCAGGCGCTGCATTACAATGAAAAAGATGGATCAATAATAAACACTTTGTTGTTCCTGGGTTTTTTATTATAATATAATAAAACTGGTAATTGACAACTGGAACGGAATACGGATTACGATATTGGTTATGATTCTATGATGTGACGGAGCGGATTATTTAGTGTAACTAGATTATAGTGTATTATTGTTGTATTGATTTCCTGTTTTGCCCTTTTGTAACTGTTTTTATATGTTGTGCACCGCCGCGAGTCGCCCTAGGGCTGAGAGCGGCGGTCAATAAATGCAGTAAATAAATAAAATAAATAAATAATAATTTATATAAATAAAAATGTAATGTTTGTTTGTGGGATTAACATAACTCAAAAACCACTGGGCGAATTGACACCAAATTTGGACACAATACACCTATCAGGCCAAGGAGTGACCATCACTCATAAAAACACTGAAAAACACAGCAGAAGGGACTTAAAATGCCCCCAAAAGCTAAATGATGAAAAGCTAAATGACAATACAGAAAAAGGGAAGAAAGAGGGAGGGAAGGGGAGAAAAGAAAGAAGGAAGGAAAGAAGGAAGGAAGGAAGGAAGGGAGAAGGAGAGAAGAAGAGAGAAGGAAGGAAGAAAGAGGGAGGGAAGAAAAAAGGGGGAAGGAAGGAAGGAAGTTAGAGAAGGAAGGAAGGAGAGAAGGAAAGAAAAGGGAAAGAGGGAAGAGAAAGAAGGAAGGGGGAAGATGTAGAGAAAGAGGGAGGGAAGGAAAGAGAAGGAAGAAAAGAGACAGCAGAAGAGAAAGAAAAAGGGGGAAGGAAGGAAAGAGATAAGGAAGAAAGAAAGGAGAGAAAGACGGAAGGAAGTAAGGAAAGGAGGAGTGAAGGAAGGAGGGAAAGAAGGAGAGAAAGAGGGAAGGTTGGCCACAGCAACGCATGGCAGGCACAGCTAGTAGTATAAATAAAAATGTAATGTTTGTGGGATTAACAGAACTCAAAAACCACTGGGTCGAATTGATACCAAATTTGGACACAATACACCTAACAACCCAATGTATGTCCTTCCCTCAAAAAAATTGATTTTGTCATTTGGGAGTTGTAGTTGCTGGGATTTATAGTTCACCTACAATCAAAGAGCATTCTGAACCCCACCAACGATGGAATTGAACCAAACTTGGCACACAGTTCTCCCATGACCAATAGAAAATACTGGAAGGGTTTGGTGGGCAGTGTCCTTTGGTTTTGGAGTTGTAGTTCACCTACATCCAGAGATCACTGTGGACTCAAACAATGATGGATCTGGACCAAACTCTACACGAATACTCAATATGCCCAAATGTGAAAACTGGTGGAGTTTGGGGAAAATAGAATCTTGACATTTGGGAGTTGTAGTTGCTGGGATTTATAGTTCACCTACAATCAAAGAGCATTCTGAACCCCACCAATAGAATTGGGCCAAACTTCCCACACAGAACCCCCATGACCAACAGAAAATACTTAAGGCCACCCAGTCCAACTCCTTTCATCAGGGCAAGAAAACGTAATCAAAGCCCTCCTGACAAAGAGTCATCCAGCCATAGATAGAGATACATATATATGACTTGCACACACGCATAGTATGATAGATTTGAAAGGGACCCCTAAAGAAGGACAATTATATGTTGCATGTTCCAGAGGGACCCCTGAGGAAGGACAATGATATGTTGCATGTTCCAGGGTGGGCAAACCAGACCATCTCTATATCAACACTGGCAAAGAAACAGCAAGAAATACTGTTTACCCACAAGCAGAAAAAACATTACATATATTAGAAACCAACACTTTCTCATTACTTTATTTTCCAGATCACCAGGCGTGGCAGAGACAGCTAGTACAATATAAAAATATAATGTTCGTTTGTGGGATTAACGTAACGCAAAAATCACTGGACGAATTGACACCAAATTTGGAAACAATACACCTATCATTTTGTCATTTTGGAGTTGTAATTGCTGGGATTTATAGTTAACTCACAATCAAAGAGCATTCTGAACTCCACCAATGATGATATTGAACCAAACTAAATGGTAGGCATTGACCTTGAGTTTATAAAATAATATAAATAATATAAAATAAAAGTTCCTGGGTTATAAATGTCATTTCCTAATTGGTTCAGACAGGAAAAAAATATGGAAAAGTTTATTAAACTGTAAGAACTTTTGTTTTGAAAGGCTTAAAAATGTAATATTAAGGGAAACTACAAACTTTTGAGTTTCCCTTAATATTACATTTATAGAAGGATTTTTAAAAAGGAAGTAGAAAAAGAACTTGTTCTACTTCCTTGTTCAAGTAAGTGTCGCACAACTGAACAGGAAGGAAGTAACACTTTCAAACCAGGAACATATTTTTTTCTCCCTTTTTTTGCATAGTGTAGTCAATCATAATCATTACAATCACAACAATCATAATCATAGCATCTTCGTTGTACTGAGTGACCCAAAAGCCCTCCACGCATAGGAAAACTAAGAAAGTCATATTACTGGGTTGCTGTGAGTTTTCCAGGTTTTATGGCCATGATCCAGAAGCATTCTCTCCTGACGTTTTGCCCACATCTATGGCAGGCATCCTCAGAGGTTGTGAGGTATAATGGAAACTAAGCAAGAGAGGTTTATATATCTGTTGGAGTCCAAAACACCTGGAGGGCTGAAGTTTGCCCATATTTGAATTAATATCTTGATATCCTAACCACTTAAAAAAAATTGGTGTCTCTCTAATTCAAACTATAAACAATAAAATAAATTTTGAAATGAAGCAGAAGTTATACTAAGGTGAAAAAGAATGTTTATCTTTGTAGGCTTGCACTTTATATTTGAACAGTTTCCTGCTGCTTTTCCTAACAGCAAAGTCTTATGGTCCATGGTGAAAAATGGCAATGTGAAATGTCCCTCTTTGCTTGGTCATATTAGTCCCAATCAAATGGTAAATCCTGATGGGATTTGTAATTTGGCAATGCCTGGAGGGCTGTGGACCTCAGTAGAAGACATTGAAATGTGGACAATGTCAGACCTTGATTCCTGCTAACAATGCCTCCACTCACTCCTCTATTCAAGGCTGCCTGAGGCTTCCCTGAACTAAATCCAATCATGTTTCTAACCACAACAGATCCATGGAATCAATTACATCTTGACAGGTTTATAAGTATGTAGATTTCCTTTATTCCCTGCGTCTATTGTCTTTGGTATGTAGACATGTTCCTGTAGTTGCCTGAGGCTCTCCTGGTGGTAAAGGGAGGAGGGATTTTCCCAGGAACTATGCTTTCTCAGGTGAGCTGCCCCTCTTCTTATGCAAAGCATTCATCCAGACTGATTCGCATTGCAAGAGACCTGGAAATGGTGGAAACTGCCACAACTGGTTTGTGGATGTTTGGGACTCTCCCTGGACGTCTGGCTATGGAAACTGTCTTGATGAGCGCAAATGTTATGACTGTGTCACTGACACTGGAGTGAAACCTGTGCTAAATAAATCCCACGCTTTTGGTGTTGGCATGCTTTCCAAATAGCTATATAAATAAAAATGTAATGTTCTGTTTGTGGGATTAACATAACTCAAAAACCACTGGACGTATTGACACCAAATTTGGACAGCATACACCTAACAACCCAATGTATGTCTTTCACTAAAAAAAATATTGATTTTGTCATTTGGGAGTTGTAGTTGCTGGGATTTATAGTTCACCTACAATCAAAGAGCATTCTGAACTCCACCAATGATGGAATTGAACCAAATGTGGCATACAGGACTCCCATGACCAACAGAAAACACTAGAAGGGGTTGATGGCATTGACCTTGAGTTTGGGAGTTGTAGTTCACCTACATCCAGAGAGCACTGTGGACTCAAACAATTGGATCTGGACCAAACTTGGCACAAATATTCCATATGCCCAAATATGAACATGGAGTTTGGGGAAAATAGATGTTGACATTTGGGAGTTGTAGTTACTGGGATTTATAGTTCACCTCCAATCAAAGAGCATTCTGAACCCCAATATGAATTGGGCAAACTTCCCACACAGAACCCCCATGACCAACAGAAAAAATATTTAAGGCCATCCAATCCAACTCCCTTCATCAGGGCAAGAAAACACATCAAAGCCCTCCTGACAAAGAGCCATCTATATAAATAAAATGTAATGTTTGTTTGTGGATTAACAGAACTCAAAAACCACTGGATGAATTGTCACCAAATTTGGACACAAGACACCTAACAATCCAATATATGTCTTTCACTAAAAAAATTGATTTTGTCATTTGGGAGTTGTAGTTGCTGGGATTTATAGTTCACCTACAATCAAAGAACATTCTGAACTCCACCAATGATGGAATTGAACCAAACGTGGCATACAGGACTCCCAAGACCAACAAAAAACACTAAAAGGGTCTGGTGGCATTGACCTTGAGTTTGGGCGTTATAGTTCACCTATATCCAGAGAGCACTGTGGACTCAAACAATGATGGATCTAGACCAAACTTGGCACAAATATTCCATATGCCCAAATATGAACACAGATGGAGTTTGGGGGAAATAGACCTTGACATTTGGGATTTGTACTTACTGGGATTTATAGTTCACCTACAATCAAAGAGCATTATGAACTCCCGAACGACAGAATTAGGCCAAATTTCCCACACAGAACCCCCATGACCAACAGAAAATACTTAAGGCCATCCAGTCCAACGTAAACAAAACGTAATCAAAGCCCTCCTGACAAAGAGCCATCCAGTCATAAATATAGATAGATATGATTCACACACACACAGATATAGTATCATAGATTTGAAAGGGACCCTAAAGAAGAACAATTATATGTTGCATGTTCCAGAGTAGGCAAACCAGACAATCTCTACATCAACACTGACAAAGAAACAGCAAGAAATACTGTTTACCCACAAGCAGAAAGAAATTACATATATTAGAAACCAAAACTTTCTCATTATTTTATTTTCCAGATCACCAGACTGGATCAGTAATGGTAGAATCAAAAATAT